GCTGCCTTCGGAGTCAGACATCAGTGGGGCCGAAGAACAGCTGGAGCCTGTTCCCAGTGTGCACATAGTTGCCAGACGAAGGGAGCAGCTAAAGAAGAGGGGTCGACTTGGGAGTAAGGCCACAGGTGGACAATGAATGGCCCCTCCCAGAGGAAATAAAAGAGGAGCGAAAGGGGAGTGGAGTTTGCAGGAGACATCCGTTTGCTTCATTGGTTCGTGACTCTCCGAGACTCCTTGCCGAGTTCTGCAGAATATTGGCCTGGCAGCTCTCCAAGCCAGATAAGGTCCGTGACTGTAAATCCTCCTTTGAAAGACTTTGCTGGATGCGAATGAGCAGAACTCACAGTCAATTAATAAAAGGCTTTTTTTTGTCGGGACCAGGAGTTGGCTTCAGGCTCTCGGGAAGCCTCAGTCAGAAGACATCCCAGTAGAGACTCTCTTGCCGTTGGGGGCCCAAGGAAGCTGCCTCCCCTTCCCCAGGGATCCAGCCATTGTCTGCCAAACAGCCACATCTGAAGAGGCTGGGCAAGGGGGCTTCGAGGGATGGAGAACACCTATCCCACTCCTCCAGTTCTCTATGCATCTCGTTTCCTAGCTGCTCCTTAAGGAATTTGCACTCTGCGCTTCCCCTTGGGCTGTCTCTCTCTCTGCTGCTCCCGTTTCTACGCAGGCAATTAAGCTGGGTTTTCAATGTTCTTTTTCAGTGCATTAAAGCCTACAGCTCGGACTGGTACGTCGTGAACTACAAATACGACGAATATTCTGGCGATTTCCGAATGTTACCGTGGTAAGCCTTTCTCCCTCCCGGGGTGGGTGTTCCTCGCATGCCCGGGCTCGCAACGTTGGAGGGCATTTTACAATGCCGCAATTTGCAGGGCCAAACCCGTGTCTTTTGCCTCGGCCTCTGAGGATCTGAGCGGTTTAATCAAACAATTAAGGGTTTCGCATAATATGTGGACCACCCAACAACTGAGATTGGGAGGAGGAATCCGTGGGTTGGATTCTTCAAAGTCGTGGTACCCTGTGGGTGAGTTGGCCCCCAAGAATAGCCTTCAGGCGGGGGGCAGCCTTCCTATGTTAATTATTAGTATCATGGGGTGTTTTAATTATGGTGTAATTTGAGTAAAACTGGTTGTTTTCAACTTTAGCAAATCCTTCAGGCCAGAAAAGGTCCCAAGCCACATCTTTGAAACTGATGAAGACTTTGATAAAGACGAGGTGAGAAAGACGAGCTGGAGATTCCCATCGGGTGCAGCACGAAGCTCCCACTGGGCGCCACAAGGAGGCACGCAACACAGCCTCCTTCGGGAGATTGCTGTGTTCTGGACCAACTGTAGTCTTCGAACACTCTTCCATTAGTGAAGCGCCTTCCATTAGCTCTTCCTCTCCTTCACCCCTCAATTCACGTTCTAACCCTTCTTCTTCCATGATCACCACCTCCATCATCCACAGCCATCAAATAAGCCCTGTTCCTTGAGACCGCTCTGCTTTCTCCCTCGCTGCCCATATCCCTGGAGCCCTCCTGAGAATGCCTTCCCAGAGCTTCCCTCCTTCCCACCCCACCTTTGCCAGAAAGGTGCAATCCCCTCCTGCCTAACTGAAACAGGAGACATTTGTTGGGTGGGAACGTTCATTGAGATATACCAGGGGTCAGCAATCTGTGGCTCTGGAGCCGCATGTGGCTCTTTCCTCCCTCTTCTGCGGCTCCGTCACCGGTCGACACCACAATTTTGACAGGAGCTTCCGGTGGGGGTGGGGGAAGAGAAGCACAGCGCACCAGGAGAAGACTCTATGGTAAAGGGAGGGTTCTCCAGTTGTCCCCACAATTGATAGGGCTTTCAGTTAGGACAGGTGGAGGAAAAAGGATGCCGCGCTAGGAGGAGACTCCATGGTGGGGGAACTGAACTTCCGGTCAGCTCCAGAATTGAACGGGGGGCTTCCGGTTGGACCTTTGTGGCTCCCGGTGTTTTCTTTTCTGTGGGAAATGGGTCCAAATGGCTCTTTGAGTGTTTTAAGTTTGCCGACCCCTGAGCTATACCACTTGGTCCCCTTTCCTTGCAGTCATTTTGATCTCTTCTATCTTCCAGGACGCTTCCTCGCTCTGTTCCCAAAAGGGGGGTGTGATCAGGCAAGGCTGGCTGTACAAGGCTAACGTCAACAGTACCATCACTGTCACCATGAAGGTAAGAGGGGAGCGCTTGGGTTTCCCTCAGCAGGAAGGAGAAGGAAATGGGTTCTAGGTTTGTTTTGGGTGGGAAAGGTGCCTCAATAATTCAAGGAGCTTGAATGCTTGAGAAGCGGTTCTCCACCCTAATGATTTCTTCCAACAACCAGTTCACCAAACAGCTCGAACAGTTAACCACCGGTTCTCCCTATATGGTACGAACTGGCTGAATCCCACCACTGGTATGTATACAGTAGACACATACAACGAAATTCACATAACCCCCAGAGACCAGGCCAAACACACATGACAATCCACAAACACCCCCGCCCCCTAAACCCCCCAAGCATCCCCACAACGGACCAAGTAATGCTCTCCAACCGTTCGCTGATGGTGGCCCTTTAGTTCGTTGTTGAATGCGATGATAGCTCTGGGATAAAAGCTATTCAGAAGACGCGAGGTCCAAGTTTTAATTCTTCTGTACCTTCTGCCAGAAGGCAACAGTCTAAAAAAGATTGTAAGCAGGATGGGAAGAGTCTCTGAGAATGTTATGCAACTTCCTCAAACGGCGAGATGCGAAGATGTCATCCGGGGTCTGGTAGCTGGAGCCCGGTGATATTCTGGGCAGTTTGAATGGTTCTCTGTAGAGCGTTTTTTGTCCGCTGCAGAGCTGCTCCAGTACCATGCGAGAATGCCGTATGTCAGGACACCCTCAACGGTGCTGCGATAGTAGGACAGAAGTAGATGCTGGGATAGATTTACCTTCCTGAGCATTCTCATGGAGGTACAGCCTCTTCTGCGCCTTCTTCACAAGCACGTTAGCATTCATGGTCCATAACTTACTTTACTCTGCATGAGGTTCAAGATTCTGGACTCGTATCTCGAGTAGAAATGAGCAGAATGGAGCAGAATTCATACTGGAAGATCAACGGTGTCCTACAGTGAGCTTTTCTCCTTCTTCTTCTTCTCCTCCTCCTCCTCCTCCTCCTCCTC